GACCTCGTGGTAAAACCCCATTCCCTGCCCCCTGTGCCGCTGGGGGGAAGGAGGTGGAGAAATGGGGAGCAAAGCTGAGCCCAGGAAGAAGGGAGGGGTGGGGGGAAGGTTTTTAAGACCTGTTTTGTTTCTCACTGCCCTACTCTGATTTGATTGGTAACTGATTAAATTGATTTTTTTCCCCCAAGTGGAGTCAGTTTTGCCCATGACCATAACAGATGAGTGATCCCTCCCTGTCCTTGTCTCCACCCACCAGCCTTTCCTTGTATTTTCTCCTCCTAATCCCACCAGGGGGAGGAGTGAGGGAGCATCTGTGTGGTGCTGAGTTGCTGGATGGGCCTAAACCATGACAGTATCAAACCTTTATTAATAGCCTTAATTAACTTGCCACCTGAAAGGAGGATACCTCCGTCAAACATCATTTAAAGAGAACAAATGGTAACTTCCCTCTCCAAAATAGGCAAGGCATGTCCAACAGAGACACACCAGGGATTTTGGTGACTATTTTTACATTATTTCTTCCCCTGCACAAGCAAAAGTTATCACTGAAACATCAGTAGCCGCCTAAATGAGCAACCACAGTCTAGCTGTCAAACTGAGCAACTGCGGTAGCTGAATTACTTCCTCCTGTTACTAGCTTCATATTGTACTTGACATTCTCAAGAAGACAGTGTAAGAGAAGTTACTGAAACTTGGTGATTCCTTCCAAAAGGGGAACAGAAAAATCAAAAGAATCTTTCAAATGGAGTCTCTAAAAGCAACAACGATCTGAGAACAGAAAGCAGTCAGCAACCACCATACTCATTTCCTGTGCCTAATACAGAACAGAAAAAAGCCGGGAACAGCTGCTGATGCTCAGACCAGAACTGCTACCTACCTTCAAGGAACTTCCTTTCATTTAAGCCTAAATAAAGCAAGGTGATTCGATCTTAGTTTATGGTGGGAGAGAAAGCATATAAAAATAAAAATTCATCCCTACATAAGTGCATCAAACTTCCACCCTTTTCAGGTATTTTAAATGGCCAGCCTTTTATAACATCCTTTACGTCCTCAGTAGATGGAAATGAAGTAAACTCAAACTCCTTGGATCCAAATATATCACAGTAATTTGAAGTCAAATGGGACAGCAAGAAAGGATATCCAAAACACGTTATAAAGCTGACAATGAAGCAAGAGTTCAGTTGCTCTGCAACCACTGCTGTAAGACTAAGATGGACAAAGGGCTGATCTGCCTGCTTCAGAACTTCATCTGGTAATAAAAGAGATGGGAATAAGGAAGCTCTTCCTTCTACCTGCAAATACAAGGTGTATTCAGGAAGAAAAAAAAAAAAATCACACGTAATGTTTTTAGAAGCCTTTCAGCTACCACATTTTTAAGTTGTGACTTAACAACAAAGTCAACCAGGAAACTTCTCCTGCATAGGCACATCAATCACTAATAGTCTTAGCATTAAACTCTGTTTACACTCCTTAATCAGGAGTTTACAACTTTCACTAGTGTCAGCTCGGAAAACCAGAGCTTTTTCAAAGCTGTTCTGTAAGAGAAACAGATAGATAGATAGACAGATAAATAGAGACTGCACCTTTACTACACAGAAGGCCAAACCCACAACGTTAGGTCATGCTTGAAGACAGAAACACAGTAACAAGAATATTCACAGAGCCACTAATAATAAAAAACTCAGCAAATTCAGCCTCTAACACAGCACGACGTTGCACTAGCAACCCTCATAATAAAGGCAGGAAAACATTAGGGAAGAGAGGAAGAGAAGGCTAGAACAGCCAGTGAGCTAAGCTGGCGAGAGCACCGAGTCCCTGCTGTCAGCACATTACTCACCAATAAGAAATGTGGTGAGCACAAAGTTTGCAAGCTCAAATTCTGTCATATTAGAATATTGCTAGAAGTCAGTCAGCCAGGCACAAAAAGTTACATGTTATGAAAACAAAAAAATCCTACCAAACAAAACCCACCAGCACCAGAAATCATACAATGATCTTTTTGTTAAAAGAACTCTAGATTTGTCCATCAGGTAACTTGCAGCTTTTGTCAGTTGCCATGTTTTTAGAAGATGCGTACACCATTCCCCCTTTTGCCTTATTAAAATATTGGTTGAGATGCATCAAGAACAGTGGCGGTAAGCTGTGCTGGGTTTAAGCTGACATCTACTCCAAACACTTAAAAAGTTCCATTTCTAGCCTTGATTAATAATTTTCAGTTCATTCCTTATATCAATTTGCTATTCATCAACTTTTTGACAGAATCTACTCTTTATCAAACAAACCTGCAACTAACAATTCTCTCATACTCCCTCTGTAGCCCAAATGGCTTGCCCAAAGAGTATACAAACTCAGAAGAGGTGTCAAAATATAATGATCAAATGCAAAAGAAACCAAACACAGATGAAATTTCATCTTACAATAAAAAGCCTAGCTTATTAGGTAACATAGGAAATGAAAATATTTCTGTTTACACATATATAAAATGTTATATACATGTAATATATATAATGTATATGCACTTTTATATATGCATATACCTACATTATCATAATGCAAAGTCTATAAGGCACAGAATGCATATGAAGTAATTCAGATTTATGTAAAAGTTAAGTTCTGACAGCGCTCAAGCTGAGATAAATACCACTAACTAATCTGCCTACACAGAAATTCAGATGCTGGGGAAAGAATGGGGTGGAGGAAGAAGGAGAAAGTGACCCTCAGGCAAAGGTGCTTTGTCCCAAAACAACAGAACACAGTCTCACAATCCTTAGTAAGGTACAGTCAGAGCCTGCACTAGCTCAATTCAGCAAAAGATGTCATGATGCGTTCTTTGCAAAAGTAACAATTAATGGGTGACTGGAAATGGTATTTGATACTTCCCTTCAACAACTAAGAAAATGTTTCAAGAAACACCCCACGTACACTCCTTAGTATGGACACATGTGAGGACACAGCAGCACTGAGTGACCAAGCACAGATTACCTTTCCAGCCAGGCTCTGGAAAAGGACTTTGCTCTTACCCATCAAACCTTTTGATTATTTTCTCCTTAACAGAGTTCAACAGTTATCTTCTCCTCTCCCCTCAGCATCTGGGATGCTTGCTGAAGAGATCTCCAAAACTCGAGGGACTAAAGCTACTTCAGAGACTCATGTCAGAATCTGAAAAGCACCAATAGAGACAAGAACCTAAAATACAGATTGTCTGAAACAGCTGACTTTCTATTCACTTAGTAACTCCTGTTACAGTCTCCCAATAGTTGCAGTTACCAAAATTCCATTGCCTTCAATTCTGTCTGCATTTTTGTTTTAGAACTGACAGCAGGAGAAGTGTAAGCTGCCATTCGTTATCCTTCAGCTGAGGAGTGGCAACTTCTTTAGCTGTGGTAACACTGTCTCTTTGGATAGCAAATGCATTAATCCCTCTTGTTGAATTCTGTCTAGAGAAATGGAATTTCATTAAATAAATCTATGATAACTTTCCTCTAGTTATCTTGAAATAAAACTTATTACTGAGCATGCCATTTTCCAGTCATCATAGATTCTCATGGTTATCCACGAAACACTAAAAGTAGTACTGAGAGCTCTTTCCAGTATTAAAATCTCAATTATCCTTCGAGTGCCCTATATTAATTTCGGGCTTGAAATGAGCCCTTTCGCTGTGTAGCCCACAGCAACCCCATTCTTCAGGGAAGGTTGCCCGCCACCTGCGTGGCAGGCAAGTACAGCACCCTGCAGTAGCTCCACAGCACAAAGTCACACCTCGCCATTTACTGCGTCCGTGACGCAACGGCAACACTCTCATGACAGCCAGAAAAGGATCTGCCTGCTGCAGTAACTTCAGCCACCCTTGCCTATAAACACAAAACGCATGCAGGTCAGAAATCAACAGAAACTTTGGATAGTAATCACAGGGATAAATCCACTCTGAACATTCCTAGAACATGAAACCAAGTCTTTTCATTTTACAGCTAAAAATAGAATACTACCAGTGTACGCTGTCTCGAACAGCAAGAAGCAGCTTGGTCCACGGCCATTATTGAAAACAGTGCTTTTTGGTTTCTTGCACTACAAGAACACGAAACTTTGCACCGTTCTCCACACGGCACACAGTTGATTAATAGGCTCACACCCAGCAGTGTAAAGAGAACCCCACCAGCCTAAAGGATGCGTAATGTTACCACGTTAAAGGTGGCCCCTCACCTTTCAGACAAGCTATGGATGAACATCTGCTCCCAAACTGGTTATTCCAGCCCAAGATATATTGCTTTTAGGTTGCTGGACAGGCAAGGGAGAGCAGGGCCAGAACATCTTCTCTGGCAACATCTGCCTGATGCCGATGCTACTGAAGGCTCAGCTGCACTCGTTCTACTCAACACAGCACGCAGCCTCACCAAAAGCCAATTCCTCTTGGTTTGACTGCTTGCTCTGCTGAGTAAGATGAAAAACATATATAGGCTTAAAACCAAAAAAACACTACAAGAAAAAAGCATATCAGAAATAAGCAACCTTCCTCCACCCAAATCCAACCCTAAGCTGTAAGCGCAGATGAACTAGAGATGCT